AAACTGCAATACACAGGATGTAGACAGAAGAGCTGTCTTTGTTCATGGCCACCTTGTGAGATTGCTGGGGAGGCATGATATCTGGAATCGGATAGCTGTGGGCTAAAGAAGGTCCAGAACATATTATAATACAGCATTTATATAGCGCCAACAGTTTGCGCAGCGCTTTACAGAATGAAGGGATACAGTACAGTTATACAATTTCAGTGCAGTCGAGAGAGCTTGCAATCTAGTAACCTTGCCTATTTTACGCCGTACTCTGCTGAATACTGAACAAAGCTGAAATGTTGTGAACCGTACACAGAATAGCATTGTGTACAGGAGCACAAACTAAAATCTGAGAGTGCACAAGTTTTAGTGTGGTTTTTCATTAAAATAGTTACATTAGCAGATCTCTAGTATTCCTTCAGCTATGTGGAGACACTTTTTGAATTGAAGTGTTTGTATATGAAGATGTATAAATAGTGCTTGAGAGATGTTTACACAATGTTAGCTCTAACAAATTAAACATGGGATCATTTGGCAGGGAGAGTCCAAAAGTTTTAAAAGCTTTTTCCGAACCCCTTTGCTGGTTTCCTGAAACCGTTTTTTAAAACTAAAATGTACAGGTGCCCAAAAGGGCTGTGCAACTGTTGTATGGTAGGCAGCAGGAGATTTCAGATTGTACCCGCAGCTTTCAGTCAGTGGCCTGCTTCCTCTCCCCCATAGCAGCAGTGGCTGAGCTCAATATTCCTGCAAGGCGGAGAGAGTGTGCATTATGCATGAAGAGGGGACAGTACAAAAGCAAAAATTTCCTAGCACACATCAGCCAGTCTGCAAAAAATGAATTACACTATTAGGCCCCATTCCCAACGATTTCGTGCATCTTTGCCGCGCGATATCACGAGAAGTCGCCGGCCAATGCTATTCAATGGAGCTGTCTTAGCTCCATGTCGCTCCAGCAGGACCCTTTTTTGGTGGATTTTGCCCGATTTTTTTCTATTTTTAAATGGAGCCCGACGGTGAAGGTCGCGCTAGCGTCGCTGGGTCGTCCCCCCGAAAGTCGCACTATCCCGGCCGCGTGGATCCGCTGCAAAAGGTATGCCGCTTAGTGTGAATGGGGCCTTAGGGTTAAAAATAGAGGTTTTAGTTGCACAACTTTTGCAAAATATGTGGAAGCCACACTGCCTTGTCAAGGCTCCTCTGTGTAGTGTGGACCTAACTCTAATCTGAGAGCCTCCATCTTGGAGCATATGTAGAAAGGATGATTTGGGTTTTCCCGGGAAATAGCCCAATCCTCCTTAAAGAGGAACTTTACCCATATCTTTAAAGTAACAAATACACCTTTAGAAATGTTTAGTAATGACAATCTACAAACGCATACTTCTAGATAATTGCCGGCTTTGTATTCTTTGCATACCGTTTTTATCTTTTTTTTTTTTTCCCAGTCTTCTGACAGCGGCCATTTTTACTTTGGGCAGATTAATAGATCTCCCTTTACTTCCTGGAACTCTGGCACATGTGACCATGCACATCTCAGGGGAGGAAAGCGCCTTCCCTTGAGATCTCATGAGATTACAAATGAGAATTCCAAGCAATGCTCTGCTGATGTAATCTTCCCAGGATGCAACACTTTGTCACATTACATAATTTGTGCCAAAATAGACCAGGAAGTAGAAGAACTCTATTTGTAAGTAAATGAAAAACAAGTTTAAATAATGAATGTAATATAATTTTATATCCGCATGCAGAACTGGATGCTGATATGATTTTTAGTGGAAGGAGGTAAAGGTCCACTTTAAAGGCACATGGACACACCAGAAGCCCAGCACATCACAACAACGGCAGTGAAGTGTGTCCCTGTGCCTCTTATAATTGGGCTACTTCCTGGCAAATCTGCACCCAATTCACACTTTGCTGTGTATGCTCCAAGATGGTTAGAGCTAGGACCACACTACACAGAGGGGCCTTGACGAGGCAGTGTGGCTTCCAAATGTTTTGCAGAAGTTGTGCAACTAAAACCTCTGTGTCTAACCCTAATAGTTAGACAGTGTAATCTCTTTTCTTTTTTTTGGCAAGTGTGCTGGGAAATTTTTGCTTGTGTACTGTTTAAAGCCCTTTCTATGTGCACCTTTCTTTAAAGCTAGTTATGAAATGATGAGTGTTTTGTCATTTGTTTCACCCGAAGAGGGGACACCACTCATTCCTGTGATGCAATTACATTTAAAGTGACCCTAAACTCAACTTAAAAATACATTCACGTACTTAACAAAAATGTATCTCATTTGTGCATCACTCAGCTGTAGATCCTCAAATCATCTCTGAATTGGTGCTGACACTGTCCTTCCTTCTGGAGGGGGGCTACTTTTATTCCCCATGGTCCCTGTGTGTGTTGTAAAGTAGCCACCGCTCCAAGCTTGCTCCGGTGATGGACTACAATCTCTCGTTTTAGTTTGTGAGCTTGGAGTGGTGGCTACTTTACAATACACTTGGGGACCATGGGGAACAAAAGTAGCCACCACTCCAAGCTCACTCCCATGATGAGCTACAATCTCAATACAAATTCATAAACTAAAACGGGAGATTATAGTCCATCACCGGAGCGAGCTTGGATTGGTGACTACTTTACAACACACACAGGGACCATGGGGAACAAAAGTAGCCACCCTCCAGAAGGAAGGACAGTGTCAGCACCAATTAAGAGATGATTTGAGCGTCTACAGCCGAGTGATGCATAAATAAGATACATTTTTAATAGTTAAGATACTTGAATGCATTTTCAGATTTAACTCCTGAGTTTAGTGTCACTTGAACTACATTTTTAAAACTATTTTGAGAAGGATTGCGTGTCGGTCATCTTTTGTCTAAGGGTAACATTTAGTTGCTGCATGGATTACACACTTTTTTTCTGTTTTGGCTCTGTATGAATTGTATTATAGACCTCATTGCCCCTGTAGGATCCCATCTGGACCTAACTGTACACATAAAACAGTCCAGCAGTTTTTCTCAGACTAGCTCCTCCCTGAACCCTAGTAGTTTGCATCCTAAATCTTTTTTTCACAGATGTGGTAGTTCTTAGAATCTATAGTTTTGTTTTTGCAAGAATTAAGGATATCTCAAAGCAGAACTATGGGGTGAGTGAATTACACTCATCCCCATAGTTAAAGCCGACATGTGACAATCAAACTGTCCCATATCGGCTCCATTGATCAGTAAGTGAGCGAAAACATCCCAAACATCTCCCCACAGAGAGCGGTGACTGTCAGTCACCGCTCCTCACAGGGGTCGTCCCCTCTCCGATCAGAAAGGTTGGGCATAGCTGGCTCTGCCTCTAGATAGGCAGAGCCTGCTGTCAATCAGCCAGCAAGGTGGATCTCGACAGTATTGTCTGGATCCATCCCAGCTGTGGCATTCAGCATATAGCGGGCGATAGCCTGCTATATACTGAGTTTTGGGTCAAGGGAGGATGTTCGTTTATGTCCTCTGGTGACCCTAAAAAGAACTATGTGGTAAAAATGGTTACCCCTGTAGTTCTCCTTTTAACATATATTTTTTGTTTAGTTTGCTGTAGACTGTCACCCTCTCTGCAAAAAAACCCAACCAGCGCCAAACAAGACCATCCTGTGACCCAAAAAACTTCTTAAAATCCAGTATGGCTACCCCGTTCAGGAAGAGGGATCATGCACACTGTATGGAACACAAAAAAAGCATCGGGCGCCTGACCTGGTGCAATAAAAACTTTTATTAGTAAAAGAAGTATACAAAATATATTCTCTCAAATGAAGCAAGGATAAGAAGCATCAGTGGACTGACAGTCCTCAATGGATTTTTCTGCTGTGGAGGTGAGTGGGAGACGATGAGAGACAGTCCAGAGGCTCTGCTGGTCTGTAGAGACACGCTACCACTGCTGAACGTGTTTTCGGAGACACACCCCCTTCCTCAGAGCTGGGTAGCTAGGCTCTACCCACTCACCTCCACAACAGAAAAATCCATTGAGGACTGTCAGACCATCCTTCCTTCATTTGTGAGCGTATATTTTGTATACTTATTTTACCAATAAAAAGATTTTATTGAACCAGGTGTTTTTTTGTGTCACCATCTCTTACCTGAATATTATTTGGTTCTATACATTCTTGCCAATTTACCTCAACTCGACTGTTTACCTCAACTCAAAATACACTTTCAAAACTAATTTAATTAGATCATTTTGACATATTTATCATTCTCCAGGTTTTGAAATTGCTGGTTTAGCATGCAGTAATTTGCATACACACCTATTGAATACATACCCATCAAGATAATAGGATGAAATGGATGAATGACTCCGAAGGGGGACACTTCATCCTCCTGTTCATGATTATGCCATCTGTATATTTTAGGGTACAGCCAACGTGTGCAGGGCAAGTGTTGGACTTACTGAAGCATGGAAGTAGCTCATCTTGGCCCAAATAATACAAATGATTTAAAATATGAGGTTATAAGCTTAAGCAGAATTGTCCAATGCATAGTGTTGCCTTAAAGTAAACCTGTCCTTAGAGAAACACAAGGGCTGCCATTGCTCATCTTCCGACAGTGCTGGTTGTTGGCTGTTATTCTGACCAACCGGTTGCAATAATTTGAGTCACTGACCTTCAACAAAATGCAGATTTTAGGCAAAATCGGAAGTCCTTTTCTGCATACTTGTTTCCAGGTTAGTGACTTAAAGAATTGAAGCTACAGTTTCAGCATAACATCCAGGCAACAGAAGAGATCAGCAATGGCAACCGCCATGTTTTCTTATGACCGGTTTTCATTCAATGACAAAATATAGGGAGACTGCTTTTAGTCCAGGTAAGTATTCAAGGACCATAACATCATTTTTCAGGTAATCTAAGAGCTTAGATGTTTGGCTGGATGTACACTTAAATGTCTCCAGTCTATAAAGAATCATTTTATTTTTTGTAAGGGAGATTTCTGCAAACATAACATGTTAAAGTTATGTGTATGCATATCATTTCTTTCCTTTTGTTTTTGTTTTTTAGGTTATAGTAAGAGGAGGAGGACACATCCTTCCATATGACCAAGCTGAAAGATCATTTGTGATGATTGACAGATTTATAAGTAAATGCAAGAACCTGAACTGTGAGATGGGATTCTAAGTTGATACTAAATTGTTTTCTGTAACAAACTGGTAAAATATGAATAAAATGTCTTTAAATTATTTTTATTGAACTCATTTATGGTAAACTGTGTATGATTTGGAATGTATTATTGTATGCACGTTTGTGTATGTGTATCATCCAAAGTGGTGCGGAATCCATGAACTTCTTTCATTAATAGGTGCTGGGAAACCAACAGATTCATCTCTGTCCACAAAAATGTTTTTCAAAAATGGGATCCCACAATCCAAATACGCTCATCCCTTGGTATTTGTTTTATCCATTACAAAAAAAAAAGGCATGCACTATAATTTTGGGTCTCTCCGTATCGAATAAAGGGTGGGGGAAATACAGTATATTATAAAAAAATATATAAATATTTTTTTTTTCTTCCAAAAAGACGGATCCAGCACTCCAGATATGCTCAAATTTTCATACTCGCCCTTGGCCAGATTTTGGGATGCTCAAAACTAGTACATGATATACCTTTTCTTATTGGGGTAAAATAAAGAATATGAAAAATTGAGCCTATTTGGAATTAATATATATTTTTTTTTTTTTTGTGACATAAAGCAGGATTGCATAAAATGATTTCAGAATTCCAGATTTGTTAAAAGTTTGCCTCGTGGAAATTTACTCTTTACATTCATGTATGTTTACATACACAATAGTAATACTTATAGCTTATGTACGGGCAGTATATAAGAGTATACACTATGATGAGGTTGTCATTTCAGTTTGTACCTGTGGGGTAACCAAAATGTTAAATTTGATTGACCTAATTTCACATTGCTGTTCAACCCATGTTTTGCTAAAGACCCCGGATAAAGCTGTACGGTTTGCTATCATGGGTCGGGTACTGTTGCAATGGTAATTGGTGTGTCAATATTACAGGGTTTGAGATAGTACACCGGCACTCCAAATTAGATGTCTTTTATTGATGTACGTGCAGCATATCACATAAGTGCAACGTTTCGGGGTCACGCAGGATCCCCTTCCTCTGACAAAACGTGATACAATGAAAGCATGAACAAACATATAAATACACTAGTGCATGAGCCTAAAAATCAATCTCTGCACTTCACTTGCCCCCTATGATGTCACAATGATGTCCCCCCCAGAATTCAAAATCATCTGAGAAATAACAGGCTTGTGCCAAATCATTGTTCTAAAACTAACATAAATGAAGGAGCTGTGACATCCTGGAATTGGTACAGGGTTCTCAAGAATCTGCGCACACAGACATTTTCACAGTCCATAGACTTGAGATGTTAGTGAATATAGCTGTGGCATCTGCAGACCCATCACAGGCTCAGCTGGAAATATAACCATTGGACAGGTTAAAGAACCTTGTACAATTGCTGATGGTTTCCCCTTTATCTTCTGGTGTTAGATGTCTGCAGTATGCCTGAACTGTACCGAATATGAACCTTTTGTATACAGTGCACCTGAACTGAAAAAGTGAAAACTTGCTGCTGTATTGAGATTACCTAAAAACCTTGATTGTGCCCTGAAAATCTACCTTTTGCCTGGAATATCCTTTTTTTAAAATAAATAACAATGTACATCCTGTGCCTTTTTAGCCTCCTCGCTGTATATCTACAGTGTGGGATGAATGCAAACACAGCTGCCTCTGGCTAATAGTTTCAGGAGATTTAAGGGTGTCACTATTGTGCTGCTCACTGGAGAGAAAGCTGTACCTGAGGACCTGCAGTGCAAGTCCTACTTTATTCATTCTGAGGATCTGTGCCTTTCCTGCTGCCTCTTAAATATTTATTCATCAGTTTTTAGTAGGGTTGCACCGATATATCGGCCGCCGAAACATATCGGCAAAAATGGCACTTGTGGCACAATGCCGAAAGTGCCATTTTCCTGCTGATCGGCGCATCCCAGGTTTCTTTCCTCCCCGGCTGGACTCTCCTTCCTACACCACTCAATCAGCCTCCTGTGGCAGCGTGTCAGAGAGGAGAGCGGGTACAAACAGTCAGTGATCGCTGAGTGTATGTACATAATTGAGGACATGGTATGTTTACTGTATCCTCAATTATGAATGAATGGGAAGTGATCTACATCACCTGCTGTTCATTCATAGTTGTAGTTATCGTAAACACACAATGTTTTTATAGAGGATTCCTAGAGATTGAGGACTTTGTGTTCTCAATCTCTTTTTCTATTTTAAAAGGGAAATATCAGGTCTGTTTATACCCCCAATATTTCCCCGAAGCCCCTTAAAGTATTGTAAAAAATAAAAATATTAAAAAATTAAAACGTTTATAAAAAATATAAAATATGAAAACATTTGAAAACATTTTCAGTATCAGTTTCAGCCTGACAATTCTTTTTATTTCGGTTTTGTTTCGGTTTTAAAATTTCCATTTCGGTGCACCTCTAGTTTTTAGATCACCAGTTATCATGGGCAGCTCTGACATGAGTAGAAAAAAAAAAGCCCTGCTCCTTCACCAAGATGGCTGCTTCCACACACAGACTCTGTGGCATAAGGCAGGGTAAGTTGGTATTGGGGAAAATATCAGCTGTGTGGAGCCCATGGCCAATACTGGTGATTGTCCATTGCACTCTGCTTGCCTTTTTAGAGGGCAGTTTGGACGGTGCAGTTGCTGGCTACACATTTGCCTAAGGGGTTGAGTGTCTGCACACCTGGCTGCCCTTTAGTGTTATTGGCCATCTTAACCTTCAAGCCATAACGTGAAATTAGGTTCTGGGTGTACCAAGTACAGCATATTCACGGTGGTTATATGTCCTATCTGTGCTTGTATGGGCTTTCCATTATTGGCCCATGTGTGTGACCCACCAGAATTGTGGTAAAAACAGAAGCCATGAGAAGAGGAAACAATCCCTGGAGTCCACTTCACAAAGAGGACCAAACGGGGCTTGACTGCTGGTCTTGTGTGTGTATATATATATATATGTGTGTGTGTGTGTGTGTGTGTGTGTATAATATACATTTAATGATCGAGAAAGTGTTACCAAATGTGTGTCCTCTTTCTATGTTAAACAAACCAGACTTGATTTCCTAGTCTTACTGGAAACCATCCAAGTCTACCCCTTTTCCCATGTCTCCCCTCCTCCCACCCCCACCATCTCCTAAATTCTTCTTTTTGTATGTTGCTTCACAATATAAGCTAATAATGTAATTTCGGTAGGCATAACATGGTAGTTACAATCCATTCCTTTAGGTTAAGAGTGTGATTCATTAGAGTTTTACGCTTCATGTTTACAGAGCTCCCTTTCCCACTGTTTTCTTGTCCTCCTGAACCCTGCCTAGTAAGGTTGCATTCTTCCCTCAGACATAAATTGTAATTGTAGTTGAAAACAGCATGTGTGCAAGCCATGCCAGCCCTCCCCATCTTACGGCCCTGTGATGCCTGTAATGAATAGTCATTCTATCAGTAGTCATTTAGAAGATGTCATATTTTAAAGTGCGTCAATATAGGTTGCTGCATGCTGCTCCTTTTATGCAAAATGGTGTAGTATTTACAGAGCCAGTAAACCTACCTCCTATGAAGAGGCCAGAAGCGTATACCTCATCCTGTCAAATCTTAGCCATTTGTGAATAAATATCTGAGGTGAAGTGGCCTATAAGTTTCAACTAATTCTATTTAACATAAACCAGCTTGTAATTAACATTTTGTGGACAAATATATAAAAATCATGTTCAGACCTGAGGATTTTTCATGGCCAACTCTAGCCCAAACTGTGTTGTTTTTCTTTGGAATAAGGGGATGGAGTGGGGACATTTTGAAACATCTGTCAGGTTTTAAATGTAAATGCTGCCTGTGTCCCCATAGAGATTTCACTTCTCTTGCTGTTCTGTCTGATGTATTACACCCTTTGCCCCTCTACTATATAGACAAATTATGACTAGTGGCAGAGTGGCATCTGACACATTTCCCAGACATTAGTCTGTTTCCTCAGACAGTATGCGGGAGCATATCAAATAACATGCAGCATTACATGTATATCAGTGATGTGCCGTGTCTTCTGTGCTGGGTGAGGCATTTCCCAGCCCCGCCCCCTGTCCCGCCAAAGCTACATCCCTGTCCCGCCAAAGCTACATCCCTGTCCCGCCAAAGTCCCGCCCCCAGCTCCGTAATCAAGCTATGTGGGGAGGAGGAAGAGAGGAGTCCCTGTCCCTCACTTGCTCATCACTGGTGAGACATTGAGATCGATGTCCTCACTGTTTTTTTTGTTTTTCGTGGGTTTTTTTCTTGCTTCGCCATTGGTTCAAACCATCCACAGAGCTCACACCTCTAACATAGAGTAGAAGCTGTTGCCGCTCTGGCCTCACTATGTTAGGTTACACAAGCAGTGGGGGAGCCCGCTGCTGTGTAACCTAACTAGCTGTCAAAAGCTGGATGCAGCGCCGACTGTAATTAGCAGATAGCGCTCCGTCCGTGACAGGTTACACAGCGGGGAGGCTTTCCCAGCTGTGTATCCTGTAACAAGCCGCCCTGAATAAAGAAAAAGCTGTCCGCTTCAGACTTGAAGCTGACACCTTTTTCCTCCATAATATTAGGTGAGGCTCTGCCTCCACTGGCCTCATGTCCCTGATGTATATCATATTGGAGGCTGCAGATGGTAGAAGGACTGCACAGGCCAATGCTACAGTATATACCTTGAAATTGCACTGTAGTTCTATGTAACAGCATATCCTACATCATTGCTAATGGTTCGCAGGGAGACAACAGATAATTTAAAAGAGAACTATAGCCAAACCTTTTTGCCTTTTTTAGTTCTGTTTTTGGTCACAGGAGTACATTTACTAATGTATTTTTGTGACCCAAAGTCAGCATATAGCGGACTACTGCCTGTTATTTGCGGACAGCTCAGAGCCGTGCTGCATTCGGGAAAGACCCTAACAATATTGTTGGGATCCACCTGGTTGCCTGATTGACAGCTGGCTCTGCCTCTCTAGAGCCAGAGTCATTGGTGCCCACGCCCTCCCCTGTTTTTCTCTCCAGTCAGCACTGGAAGAACAGAGGGAGGGGGGAATGGTAATGGACAGTCGGTGCTCTCTGCAGAGAGAAGCCATGAG